CATTAGGCATGCTGCTCTTCTGTGTCATCTGAGACACATGGACAGAAATGCCTGCCACAGACATTCTATGAACTTTTTTTTAACATTCTTGCACATTTATTTACAGTTTCATTGCAAGCACCTACCCTAGAATTTAAAATGAGAAGCCATGGTGATATTTTATGTACAGTCTTTGGTTCAAAGCTTGCATAGTTTTTATCTGATGAAACAACCATTGTGACTTTTTCTAACCAGGGTTGTTCAAACAACTTTTTGTGAAACTTAATCACAACTTGTGCCAACAGATGTAACATCTTGCAAGTGACAAACTGCTAAAGGTAAAAGTTTTTGAGACACCTACAGTACAGGTTTCAGATGAACTGGGAGTTATTTCCAAAAAGTACAGCTGTTTTACTCTGGAAGGTTGGATCAATTTTAACACATTAAAGGCAAAAAAAAAAAAATGCAATTAAATCTTCTCAATGTGTTTCATATCCCAATCTGGGGCATGTATCATCTCCAATGCGTGAAAACTCACACTGTGTAATTTGCGTTATGTTAAAATATTCTGAATGAAAAGGAGCACTTTACGGCACCCATGTAGTTAAGAAGGCAATACTGCTAGTAATATTTTTGTTGTTATGAATGGTTGTTTTTCACTCTAACTGCATACCAAGCAATGCACTGATCGGCACATTCTACACACATAATCTGTAATGTTAATGGACATTTTGATTGCTAAAAATTATTTGTGCCTTGGCCTTTTGCAGGTATGTTTGTTTTTCTCTTGCTTTTCTCATTGTGGCTGTCAGACTCTGAACAGTAAACTGTCTGTGGTATCTAGGCTGATGGCACATTTTTATTCCTTGGCCATGGAAGTGAACGGATTGTTGGAAAACTTGCGAGTCTTTCTGCAGATTGAGTAAAAACATGGATTAAGTGAAAGATGTCCTGCTGCAGCCTTTTCTCCATTATTTACAGACAGTTCTATGTTACACTACAGCTTTTTACTTTGACTTTGATCATAAACAGGCATTATTGATTTTAATTTAAGGAATGTTTGGACAATTTTACACTAGTGGCCTTCAGAGCTGTGCATCGTATCATTTTTTCTCATTCCAGTTTGAAAAAAAAAATAACTTGCTGTTTTGACTCTGTTTTAGACAACTTTTGGTATTTTGTTTTTATGATATAAAATGCAAATGTATTCTTACTTGATTTTTTTTAAGTTTTTGTCTTTTTAATTGCACCAGTTATTAATAAAGTAATAAACTGAACATAAAACCTGTGCTTTAAGTTTTTTCTATAAATAAACATTTTTCTGTTGTTGCATTTCATTGGCATTAAATGTATAATTTATTTTGATGTCATACGGTAAACTTCGTCTATAGGCTACAATACTCTTTCTGCTGTGTCCTGTTTAGCCAATATAGCTCTGGGACATCGAAAGGAATAAAGGGAGAGAGAAAGAGATAGAGACGGTAAAAAGGGAGGGGTAGATTAAAAGAGAGAAAACAAAACAGAAAACATAAAGGACACAGAAGAACTCCAGCCTCCTTGAAGTCTGCTTCTGTATAGTACCTGCATGTGACTAGAGTGAAAAAACAGCAAAAAAAGACAACAGACAACCAGAGTAAACATCAAAATATCTTTCAGAGCAGTAGGTATCCCTCAGATATCTAATCAGTATGATTGACATATTTATGCATGAGCATCAAGGGCGTAGGTTTGATTTCAACTTTGGTAGGGACACTATTCTTCAGTTTCATTGGTCCTTTGCAAAAATATGCATGCTCTTTTTTATGCTTAATGTGAGCTTCAGGGCTCATTTTTTTTAAAGAGAACAGCAGCATTTCTTGCTACATTAATACAAATCTTATAAGCATTACATGCACTAGATGCTGTTTATCAATATTTAAAGCATCACTGGCTCTGATGAATGTGGAATTAGGACTTTTTCCACTTTGAAAAGGATTGCATTTAAATTTACCTGCCACTAAGACAGTGTCTGTTTAACCAAACATAGTCTATAATATGTGGATTTATCCTGTGTTTTCTACTGAAGATAGAGAATTGTGCAGAGGTAAAACCCACTCTTATTTTTTTTTATCTAATATGCTCTCTCTGGATCATGCAAAATAATACATTCAAGGGACGGCAAATAAATGTATTGTATTTACATGTGCACTGGAGGAACTGACACTGAGCATTTAAAGTATTAATATTAGAAGTTGTACATCTGGGCTGTAGTTACTCTGTGTAGCTAAATTCATGTATTTTATCTATGGCTGAAACAATTAATCATATTAACAAATTATTTAAATAATCGTGAACTAATTTAGTAATTGATTAATCGTAAACTGGAGTATAGGGCCACTAAAATGTGCCTTTAACCGACAGAGAGACCCACTTAGAGCAGGAATTATACCAAGATTATAAAAAATATGTAAACATTTTTGCATTTAAGAAGTAAAAAAAAAAAAGTTTTTGTCTGTCAATATTCTCCATCCAGAACTCCTCCAAAGGAAACGTTTAAACGTTTCGGTTTCACCTGGTTTCATTTCATAAAAGATCTTTAAGGAGCCTTTGGCTATCTGATTAAAAGATAAAATAAAAGAAATCCTAACGTTGTTCACTTACATTTCTCAAGTTCCACAAATCAAAAAAATCTCTCCTGCTTCTTTACAGAACTCCAATCAGAAGCTTTCGCCTGTTTAGCGTAGATAATATTTTTTTTAATTCGGACTAGTTTCGTAGCCCAATAACAATATTAATTTATTTTAACGTCTTTTTTTTTCGCGCTCCAAGCACCCGCGCGCACATAAAGACTAGAAAACACGCAATCAGAAAGAGAGAAGGCAGAACTTAAAGGGATAGTTCGGTATTTTTGACATGAATCTGTATGGCATCCCGATCACCAGCGGCATGCAATCACACTGACTTACCCCTGGCAGCGTCCTGTGAGCAGAGTTATCGTCCAGTTTTGGTCAAGCCGAAAGTAGTCCTGCAGGTTTTTAGGTACAGCGAAATAAAACGTTTCTCTTCCCAAAACATTATGTGTCCAAAAGAGTGATATTTTCGCATCCCAAAAACATTGTAGTGGAAAAAGTCACACGTCGTTATCAATTGGTCCTATTTTCTCTCTGTTCGTATCAGTGCGCGCCGTCATTCCTTCCGCGGCGGAGGGAGACATGACTGTTGTTGGGCTCGCTGTCTGAATGACGGCGCGCACTGATACGAACAGAGAGAAAATAGGACCAATTGATAACGACGTGTGACTTTTTCCACTACAATGTTTTTGGGATGCGAAAATATCACTCTTTTGGACACATAATGTTTTGGGAAGAGAAAAGTTTTATTTCGCTGTTCCTAAAAACCTGCAGGACTACTTTCGGCTTGACCAAAACTGGACGATAACTCTGCTCACAGGACGCTGCCAGGGGTAAGTCAGTGTGATTGCATGCCGCTGGTGATCGGGATGCCATACAGATTCATGTCAAAAATACCGAACTATCCCTTTAAGGCAGAATAATCAGAGAGTTAAACCGCGCTGCTATGTGAAAGGGACAGGAAAGAGCAGGCAGCTGCAGCTACCAGGCAGAGAAGCTGCGAGAGGAAAAGAAGCGGCTGCTGTATTGTAAATTATAAACATGTTGCTCACATCCAATTATTGGTAGGGACAAATAGGTCCTTCCAAAATTTTAGTAGGGACATGTCCCTATGGTCCCTATGCAAACCTACGCCCATGATGATGAGCATGCTCATGTATAAACATTTTATGCCATGAAGAGTGGACAGATTGACCCAGTATTCAAGGAGAGACAGTCAGTAGGAAAGTTCACAACGTTTATTAAAATAAAACAAAAACTGAAGTGGAGCTCAGGCTCATGGACACTGCAGGAGGGGGGCGGGGCACCGCCCAATCTCAGACACTCTAAGGGAGAAACAAAGGTAAGTGATCACGATCATCTGACAGAAGGTGATTATCTGAGTTGGCCACTTACCTGGTTTACAGTCCAGTGCTGCAGTCCCAGTGGACATGCTGGAAGCTGATCCTGGTCAGGGATCCAGAACAGACAGGAACAGGATCCAGATCAGACAGGAACAGAACAGGTGGCAGGATCCAGACTTCTAGGCATCCACCATCTCCCAGGAGGGTTCAGAGTCTGACTGGGACCACACTGTAAATAATATCCGTAGAATTAACAGTAAATTCCTGTAAAATCATGACATAAAAAAACTGTAGATGCAAAAACAATGAAGCATTGTGTAATTTACAATGATAAACTGTAAAACTCCTAACCAAATAAAACTGTTCATTTTACAGTAAGAATATGTTGAATAGATCAGAATTTTTTGTATAATTAGCAAATTAATGTAATTTAAACACAAATTAACTGTAATGTCAAAAAAAAGTCATACAGTTAAAATTACATCATTGCCCTGTTAAATAAAAGTCAGTGGCCTAGGCCCTTTGGCACATTTCATAAAACGAGTTGTTGCCTCGGCAACCGCCCGAGCCGCTTGTCGCTTGGACTGCCGTTACCAATCAGCTACCTCTGGAATCCCACAGTCAGAGAGCACTGAGTCCATTAATGGTACTCATCATAAGGGGTCTTTGGGCTGCGCTTCGACTGATCCCTAACCTAATTTTGTTTACCATTTCGTAAAACTCTAAACCAAATAAAACTGTTAATGTGTTGAAAAGACAATACTTTTTATTTTTGAATAAATTAGGAAAGGGAAGCTTTATGTAGGTCTAGTTAACACGGGATGCCTATCCATGATATTTGAATGGAAAACACAGCTGAATCAAACCATGGCCATCTGGAAGAGGACTTATTGAATTGATTCGCTGCTCTACATATATTGGAATTTTTCATGGAACCAATCATTGGTAAGTAAACAATTCTATTTTCTGTTTATTCCTGCTATGTAGGTTAGTTTATTTTACAAATACTTTGTTCTTTGCAGGAGAATATCAAATTATTTTGGTTCAATGTTAGCTCCGCCCATTCACAGGCTGTATTTGCGCATCAGCGTCAGCGTCCCACGCAGTGGCTACTAGCTAGGTTGGTAACACGTGCGTGTTCGGCTCTGTGGCAGTGGCACTTAACAGACACCAAGTTTGAGTAAGTAATGTCTCTGGTTCTAGCATCAGGTTAAGTCAAAAGACAATTTTGTGAAACAAAACAGCGCGTTTTTATAGATTTCAATGGCTGATAGGCGAACTTCACATTGCTACTGGCTGCTAGCAGCTAATAGCTATTTTGCCTGTTTCAAGCTCCCCACGCCATGATTCAGTAAGTAATGTCTCTGGTTCTAGCATCAGGTTAAATCAAAAGACAATTTTGTGAAACAAAACGGCGCGTTTTTATTGATTTCACTGGCTGATAGGCGAACTTCACGTTGCTACTGGCTGCTAGTAGCTAATAGCTATTTAGCCTGTTTCAAGCTCCCCACGACATGATTCATTGTCATTTTTGCGGGAGAACATTGCACACGTTAAAAGGTTCTGTGTTGCATTGTAGGGTTGTGATGTTCCATTATGTGGAGGACACTTGCCTGGCTAGAGAAGTGGACATGAACAGAGTGCCCTTGACTCCCACCATTGTTGTATGTGGTAAGTTACCCTCACTCACAAATATATCCCAAATTTCTTCATTTCTAATTTAAATTATGTTCATGCATCATCTGTAATTGTTTTTGTCTCAGCTGTTAATTTCAAATACCCCCACTCATTCTCTCACACACTCACTCACACATTCACATGAACACTCTCACACACACACACACACACCTGCCTTCCAAAGACTGAACACATGCTCTCTCATTCACACACTGACCTCTATCTCTTAATTGTTTCAGTTTTTTTCAGATTTTTTTTTTTCATTTGCATACATATAGTACACACACTTGTTTTTACACTTGAGCTACGAGTCACCCCTTGCTCACACTGGCTCCGGTGCAGTTACCGAGCCGACGGAGACCGCAACTCCCGCACACCCCCTCTCACACCGCCCTTTTGACTACGGTGCGGCTCTGCGGCTCCGGCAACAGGTCCGGAGATTTAACAGAAGTTCACTTGAGTTCACGTAACTTCACGCGATAACACGGCCCAAATAAAGGATTTTTGCGAGAGCTTGTTGCGGAGGGCTCCGGCACGCCGCAAGGATAGCTTTCTTGCGGAATTTTCTGCAGCGCCGGAGTGTCTCGGTAACCGCAGCCGGACAGCTCAGCAGCCGGTGAGAGAGGTTTACGTCTTTTTAATGACTTGGAATCACTGCGGCGCCGCACCCACCGCACCGCAACGGTAAGACCGGAGTCGGTGTGAGCCTGGGGTTACTGACATGTTAAAATGTTACCTAAATTGGTGACCAAAGTCTGACCATGCTGAGCATGAATCAGAATGTTAACACTGAACATTTTGGGTTGCACTACATGTTTCAGGTAGTCAATGTATTTCCGTACATTGAAAATGCAATGGAAACGTATTACAGGAACATGACTCTCCATGAACTAGGGGAAGATGCAATGCAATTTGCAATGTTTGGAAATACACTGACTACCTGAAACATGTAGTGCAAAATTTTCAATGTAAACATTCTGATTCATGTTAAGCATGATGAGACCTTTAATAATATATATATATTTTTAAAGTTGCATTATGTGGGGGGTACACGGTTGGCCCCTTAGCTCCCCGCCTACCAGTTAAACTTTAATTAATGGAAAACTGTAACCCATATTCTCACCTTTTTTGTCTTTTCCTTTGTACTGATTTGACTGGTTGAGATGGTTGTATCATTTATAGTGGTATATGTGTTTCTTCTCTCTTCTGTTAACCTAGATGTTTCTTCTCTATTAATCCGGAGAAGGGGACGAAAGTGGAACAAACAAAAACAAAATGGCTCCATGTGAATCCAAGAGTCCTTACTTTGATTCAGGACTTCTCAGACCATGAATGGCAAGCTATTTAAAAAGGTATGTGTGCTAGTGCTAATGCTACTGCTGTCCTTGATTATTGACTGACTTTACTAATGAAACTAATGGAGATTATGTATTTCTTTCTCTTCTCTATTCCATTAGTTGTTCCTTCAAGTGACTGCAACAGTGAACACCCATATGTTTCTCTAGATGTTCTTCTAGAAGCAATGCAGTTGCATGTTAATCTAAGCTTCTGTAACTTGGTTCATGACCTTTTCAACCATGAATGGCGAGCTGTTTGAAAAGGTACAGTACAGGCCAAAAGTTTGGACACACCTTCTCAATCAATGTTTCCTTTATTACCATGTCTATTTCCATTGTAGATTCTCGTTGAAGGCATCAAAACTATGAATGAACACGTGGGAATTATGTTCAATGCATCCAGAGAGTATTCACACCCCTCTCAATGTTTCAGCATTTGTTGCATTGCAGTCATGTCCTTCAGTCAAATAAGTTTATTTTTTCTCCCTGATCTAGGATCCGTGCCCCATAATGACAGCAAAATACAGAATTGTTGAAGTTTTGGCAAATCGTTAAAAAAACTGAAATATCCACATGGGCATAAGTATTCACACCCTAGCTGTCATTATGGATCACTGAGTCTAGATCAAGGAGAAAAAAATAAACTTATTTGACTGAAGGAGATGACTGCAATGCAACAAATTGTGAAACATTGAGAGGGGTGTGAATACTTTCTGGATGCATTGAACATAATTCCCACGTGTTCAGTGTACGTGTGCTAATGCTAATGTTGTCCTTGATTATTGACTGACTTTACTAATGAAACTAATGGAGATTATGTATTTCTTTCTCTTCTCTATTCCATTAGTTGTTCAAGTGACCGCGACAGTGAACACCCATATGTTTCTTTAGATGTTCTTCTAGACTTAGACTTAGACTTAGACTTCTTTATTTGTCATTTTGTATGCACAGGGTGCATACAGAACGAAATTGCGTTACATACAGCTTATGAACGTTGCATTGATATTTCACAATGGCACGAGTTATAGAAAAATACAAAAAGTGCAGCAGTGGTCAAAGTGTGAACAGTGCAGAGGATAAGAGACAGTGTGCAAGTTGCAGTGGTTCAGTGCAAAATGGCATTTGTGCAAAAAATGCGTTATTGAAAAATACAATGAGATGAACAATTTAAAGGGCTAAAAGTTAAAAGTTCAGCAGCATTTGATGCCCGATAATGTGCAATAGGTGCAGAGTTCGGATTGTGGATCAAAGGTTCAACAGTCTGATGGCAGTGGGGAAGAAGCTGTTGCACAACCTGGTGGATCTGCAGCGGATGCTGCGGAACCTCTTTCCAGAGGGCAGCAGGGAGAACAGTCCATGGTGGGGGTGTGAGGGGTCTTTGATGATATTACGGGCTCGGGACACACAGCGCTGTGATGAAATGTCCTTAATGGAGGGAAGAGGAGCCCCAATGATTCCTTCCGCTGTCCTCACCACCCTCCTCACATTCTTCCAGTCAGAAGCTCTGCAGCCTCCACACCACAGAGAGAGACAGCTGGTCAGAACGCTCTCTATGGTGCTTCTGTAGAAGGTTGTGAGGATGGGCGGGGGCAGGCGGGCTCTCCTCATCCTCCGCAGAAAGTACAAGCGCTTCTGTGCCCTCTTCACTAGAGATGAAGTGTTTACAGTCCAGGTGAGGTTGTCCGTGATGTGCACCCCCAGGAACTTTGTGCTGCTGACCACCTCCACAGCTGAGCTGTTGATGAGCAGTGGAGCATGGTGGGGGCGGTTTTTCCTGAAGTCGACGATGATCTCCTTCGTCTTCTCCACGTTCAGGATCAGACTGTTTTCACTGCACCAGTCCACCAGCTGCTCCACCTCCTCTCTGTAGTCCCGGTCGTTGTCGTCCCTGATGAGGCCCACCACCGTGGTGTCGTCCGCAAACTTCACGATGTGATTGGTGGTGAACCTGGGGACGCAGTCATATGTCATCAGGGTGAACAGCAGGGGGCTCAGGACGCAGCCCTGAGGGGAGCCCGTGCTGAGGGTGATGACATCAGAGGTGTTCTGACCGACCCGGACTGACTGAGGTCTGTTGGTGAGGAAGTCCAGCAGCCAGTTTCGAAGGGGTGTGTTGAAGCCCAGATGTTCCAGCTTTCCCACCAGGTGCTGTGGGATGATGGTGTTAAACGCTGAACTGAAGTCCAGGAACAGCATCCGCACGTGGGTGTTCTTCTCCTCCAGGTGGGCCAGGCTCAGGTGAAGAGCAGAGGAGATGGCGTCCTCAGTGGAGCGGTTTCGCCGGTAGGCAAACTGGAACGGGTCGAGTGTTGGGGGGAGACTGGAGACGATGTGTTCCTTTACCAGCCTTTCAAAGCACTTCATCATGATGGGAGTCAGTGCGACGGGCCGGTAGTCGTTGTAGCAGGTGACTTGAGGTTTCTTTGGCACTGGGATGATGGAGGCAGACTTGAAGCATGCTGGCACTGTGGCTTGCTCCAGCGAGGTGTTAAAAATGTCCGTGAGGACACCAGCTAGCTGACCTGCACACTCCTTGAGCACCCGCCCAGGTATGTTGTCGGGACCTGGGGCCTTCCGCATTTCTAGAAGCAATGCAGTTGCATGTTAATCAAGCCTTTACCGTGATTCTCAAGCTCTCCATGAATGGCGAGCTGTTTAAAAAGGTGTGTGTGCTAGTGCTACTGTTATCTTTGATTATTGCTGACTTTGCTAATGAAACTAGTGGAGATTATTGTTTGTTTCTCTTCTCTATTCCCCTAGGTGTTCCTTCAAAGTGATGGAGCCGATGAACACCTATATCACCTTTTTTCGTGGCTCTATATTAACAAGGTTCACATTTATTCACTCACAATCCCTCTCTCTCACAAACACAAGTGCGACCACACACACACTAATGATCTCTTTCTCATTATTTTTTCAACAATAAATTTGCATTATTGTGAATTGTATATTGTCTGACGAGTGGTTTGTTACAGCCTGACTTTTCATTTAGAAGTAATTTGAAGCAATGTAGATAGTAAGACTGTAATATATATATATATATCCTGTTGTTTTTCCAGAATGATTTTGTTAAAAATACAGTACAAATGTAAACATCTTTAAAAAGAAATGTTGTTTTTACGGAAAAAAACTGGCAGCTGTGGTTGCCAGAATAACCCCGTTAAAAATACAGTACAAATGTAAACAACATTACAAAACAACTTGTAAATTTCACGTCCTAAAACTGCTTATTGTACATTGAATAACTGCAAAATGTACATTTTGTCATAATTTATTGTACATTAAATCCCAGTAAAATGTACAAGTTGTTCCGTAATGTTGTTAACAGTTTTGTTGTATTTTCTACGGGATTATTCTGGCAACCACAGCTGCCAGTTTTTTACCGTAAAAACAACGGATTTTTTTTTACAGTGCAGAAACATGACCAGGTGGTCACGGAGCAGACAGGATGAGGTGCAGATAAGCAGGCTCACTGGAAGAGGGTAGCCGAGACGGGACGTGGAACCAGAACTTGATGCAGGACTTTAAACGGGTCTCCTCCCTGGAGCTAGGCTTACTGGAATAAAAACTGAACCTCCCCACATATAGAGCCAAAAACCCAGAGGACTCTGTGGGGGAGGAACAGTGGACGATCAGGAGACGAGACAAACACAAAATCCCTCTTTCCACTGGCTGCCAGGATCCAGAGCATGAACCAAGGCAAAAACTGAACAGACAAACTAACAAAAAGACAAGTACTGATCTGGCACTGAATGCTCAGGCTGAACTGAATATAACCAGCCGGAAACAGGTGAGAGGAATAAATTATAATTGAGGCAGGGAGGGAAAACGACAGGTGAAAGGAATGACTAAGGGAGGGCAAACAGGCCAGATCATGACATTTTATGCTCAATAGCAGGTGTGGGCAGCCCAAGAAACGCCCCACAGGGCCCAAGACCCACAAAGAGGCGACCAGAGCCCCAGATATCCAAAGGCACCCCAATTCACTGGGACAAGGAGAGCAGACATAGGGATAGCCGCACTCACCAGATAAGGGCAGACAAGAGCAACCCAACCCCAGGGGGCCCGGTCCTTGAGGGAGCCAACCCCGGAGGCCACAGTACTGAGCACCAATGAGGTCGTGGTAGTGAGCCCATGGGCTCCTTCTATGGCCAAGGTGTACCCAGATGAGAGATAGGGGGCCTAGGCCCAGGGGCACACATTCTGTGGTGGAGACCATACAGGGTCAGAAGGCCTAGGCCCTGGCCAGCAACCACCAGGAATGAGAAGGCATCCAACGAAATACTCAGCCCCGCACCTAAAGAAACATCAGCGCACCAGCAAACACAGGCCCCTCTCAGAATCAGAAATACTTTAATAATCCCAGAGGGAAATTACTCACCTGCGGGGAGCATAGGAAGGCCAAGGAGACGTTCATAATTTGGGCCTATATTGTTTCAATAGGTGGGAAGGGAGGCAACACTCAACCTGATAAGTAGACAAAGACAAATTCACATGGATTCAGTCACATTCACACAATCCCAACCTATCACCCTAATATATACAAGCACTAAACAGAAATTCTCAAAGGGGCAGACGCTAAACATACTCTTACGCTCCTCATGCATACACTATCCTCCAGGTCTAGGGTCCAGTCCCTGTGGGGGAACAAGCCCACAGTGTAAGAAGGGGGCAGTCAGCTGGAGCTGTAAAGAAAAAAGGTCTGGGACCGGGCACCACCTGAGCGTGGAGAACATCAGTTTAGCCAATGTCTATAGCCCCAAACACTGCCCAAGACCCACCCCTGTGAGGGAACCCCCAAATGGCATTGACCACAGCCTCTCCACAGCATCCCCACCTATGTAAACTGCACATTCACTACCACGGACGCTAAAGCTGATAGCAAACCTGTTGAAGCACCGAACTCGCCCTAGCCTGTCAACGATGTTCCTGGCCCCCACATCCAATTGAACCTCTGATACCCAAGGTTGCAAGGCAATTGCAGCCCAGCCCTGCCCCTCTTGACCAAGCAGCCAGATGCATCCACACACTGTGGTTGTATCCCAACAGACGTACAGCAAGGACCAGGCCAAACCCTCCAACATCCTAGATGCCCCTTCCTTCAAGAACTTAGATAACACTTTCTCCAACTTTCCCAAAACTAAAGGACTGCTTTTCAGTAATACTCAGGTTGCAATAATAAAAACTTTCGAAATACAATAGGCCTTCGCAGCGCTTTGCTGCTCGGGCCTAATAAGGATGAGCAGTGGGCTGGCATCATGGGGCACCTGGGAAGCAGTGTGGGTTTAAGGGTGTTGCTCAGAGACCCAGAGTGGCAGCTCTTGACCAGGGGTGTCAAAGTCGTTCCAGAAAGGGCTGTGTGGCTGCTGGTTTTCTTTCCACCCAAGCAGTAGCACGCCAGAATCCAGTCATCAGGTTAAGACTAGACTCACCTTGATGAGATAAATGGAGTCTGGTGTGCTACTGCTTGGGTGGAAAGAAAACCAGCAGCCACACGGCCCTTTCTGGAACGACTTTGACACTTGTGCTCTAGACCCTAACCACTAGGCTGCCAATCTCAAATCCAATTGTACTCTCCTCAAGGGGTTTATGTTTCAGGAAGTTTCAATCTTTTTTGTGGAGATCATTTTCTATCCCAGTTGTTCCAAGACAAAGGAAGCTACAGATTGAATCATGCCCAGGATCCAATCTTTACCTTCAGGTTAACTTAAAAGGCATATGAGTTACTTTTTAAAGTAGCCATGGAACTTGCAAGATATTTCTCTGTGACTTGGATAACCTTTCTAAGTTATCAAGTATTTGCTGTGCCATAAGCCATGATCTTATTTTTTTTATATAAAGTATATTGTAACAAAAAAAAAAAATCATTATCTCTTCCTACAAAGTGAGGAGCCACAAGGGGCA